GCAGGGCGTTGTAAGGAAAAAACAGTACCCAAAGAAAATGTTTTTTTTTTTTCAATTTAGCACTATTTTACCATTATCAGTGTGACATATAAAAACATAAAAGACGTGTGGAAGTTCACTGGTCATTTTGGATACCAGATAAAATAGTGATATTTGTGTTGTAGACATACAGACGTCTGGTTCCTGGCACTATAATGGTGAACAATTTTGACTCTGTAAATTTCTCTAGAAAGGTGCATTTTAGACCAAACCACTCTGAATGATTTTGTTTACATCTAAACATTAAATGATTATTTATTTTGCAAAATCGAAGGAGTTTCCCTTTAAATCCTAAGTAATCATAGCATTGTAGTACTGCTGTAAATATCTAGTAGTACTCAGTGCTACAATGTAATTGCAAAGTATGAGCAAGAAATGATAATTACAATGTATTTACCCATTAAATATGAGGTACTTACTGTAGTATAAAATACATTGTTACAGTTTGCTTGTTTATCTGCTCTCAGATGTTTGAGATGTTCTCTATTGCAGTGGTGCTGACCCTAAAAAAAGGCATCTATATTTCAAGACTGCAAATGTATCTTATGCAGATTAGAGGTTTAGTCTGTTCAGATCATGAGCAAAACATAGAACATGACGTTCTTGTGAAAGAAGAGCAGATATTATCAGTTTTATCAGTGATGGAGAATGTGACCTTGTTTCTGTTTCCCATGTACCCTAGAAGGACAGAAGAACAGTGTCTCTGAATGTTTATACCCTGAAGAGCTGCTGGAGAATTTGTTAGCCTGACTATGTAGGCATGAATGTTTGGTGAGGTCTGCATATCTAATGATTTACAGCTGCTTCTTTCAAATGCTATTTTGATACTATTTAGTTTTAGCTACTTTGCTGCTCTATGCAAAATACAATACAATGGTCTGCAGAATAAAAAGGAAGCTCAATGTCCAAGGATATGCTAATCTAAAATATATGTTTAGTCTGTATTTGAAAATGGAACTTGCATTCCTAATATTTGATGAGATGTTATTCCACAGTTTAGGAGCCATAAAAGAAAAGATTCTTTATCATCATTATAGAGACACAGTCAGGTTTCAGAGCTCCTGATGATCTGATGATTTTATGTTGATTGTAGCTACACACCCTACATGGGCTTACTCAAAAGCCCACCTGAGGATGGAATCCTAACAACACTGACTCCTGATTTGCAGCCTCGAAATATTAATTTGTGGCCTTATAGTAATTTGAAGCCTCAAAATATTAATTTCTGGCCATATAGTAATTTGAGGCCTAAAAATATTAATTTGAGGCCTTATATTAATTTGATGCCTTAAAATATAAATTTACGGCCTTATTTTAATTTGTGGCCTCAACATATTATTTTGTGGCCTTATAGTAATTTGAGGCCTAAAAATATTTAATTTGTGGTTTAATATATGAATCTGTGGCCTCATAGTAATTTAAGGCCACAATATAGTAATTCATGGCCTCACTATTGTGCTTTGTGGCATCAGTATATTCTTGTATATAATTTATGGCCATGCCATATTAAAAAAATCACTATGTCACCTTAGGGTCTCTACAGAACTTATGTATGATAATGTTAATTTACATCACAAACAAATTAACCAATGTTCAGTATGAACAGACGGCTTGTAGACCTCATAACCACTACATCGTCTCTTGGTAACTGTCGTCGAGGCCTATGTGGAGCTATTTGACTGTGTAAGTAGCCTTGTAATAGCTAACAATAACACTAACCTTTTATAGTTACATATTTATAGATAATGGTGGTGGTTACTTATATAAATTAATAGATTAACAGACTTTTAAAAACATTCAGATATTAAAAAGAATCAGTTATTTAATGTTGAAAAGCTGTATATATATATATATATATATATATCTGCTCTATATTAGATTTTATAAACTATACATGGGGGTTTTCATTTACTGAAAATGTAAAAAGAAATATCACTGTCTCAGAATTTGCTCCACAAGCAGCTACTGGTATAAACATCCTTACTAAATAACACATAATAGAAACTTTTAATACTCCTGATTTATGAAAAAATGGTGGATAAGTAGGTGTCTACAAACTTACATATCTTGACAGTCCAAAGAAAAACAAGTATCTCTAAAACAGTAACTTTACAGGAGAAGGCAAGAACGGTTTTACCTTGTAATGTAAGTCAATTTAAAGAGGTTTTGGAGCATTTTTGTTGGTCCATTCATCATAAAATTTCACACAATATAAAGGACAGCTGTTCAAATGATGTTGAAAAAGAAAAATCGACAAAAATAGATTTACATGGACATGATATACTTTATTATTCAGTTGTAAATGGTAGAAAATTAAAGCCACCATTTTGTTTGTGATCATTACTACAAATTTGTAAATAAAACTGGGTCTTATTTCTCCAAATCAAATTAAACAGACTTTTGTCATTTTCAGCCCAGAGTTCTTGCAGTATACATAAACCTAGAAAGACCTTCAACCTTTGAATGTAGGATTCTACCTTTTAATGCCAGGAATTAAGTTTCATTTACATTTTATCAGTGGTACCTTTAAAGGTGGAAGAGCATGTTTGATTTGCATTCATCATTATACAAATTCCTGGATATGTTACTCCGTTCTTAAGAGGCATGTTACATATGAAGGAGGTCAGTCTTTAACAGACATCAGTTTGCATTTCCTTATATTTAAACATAAACGAGAGCTTTTGAAAAAGTCCTAATGAGCTTAAAAGCAAGACGGACCTGAGAGGCATTCTTCAAAAAGGGCTAATATTGTCCAGCAGTGGCTAATGATAAATGATAAACCCTCTCTCCACCACTATAACCCCCTACAGGTTACTATAAGAGATTGTTTCAGGGATTCAAAAGCCTCATTAAATCAAGAAAGGAATTCAACTATCACTGTTGCCCAGTAAGCAGTCTGTACAGATAAACAATCGTTCAAACTATATCCCACCACTAGGTGGAGCAATAATCACATCATTTAACCCTCTCAGCCCAAGTTCATACAACGTAATTGCAAAGTATGTACCAGAAATTACATGCAGTTATTTGCAGTTACATGCATATTTAACCCATTCAGTATTAATCACTTACAGTTTGCTTGTCTATCTGCTCTTGGATGTTTGAGATGTTCTGTTTTGCAGTGGTGTTAGATCTAAAGAAATCATCTATATTTCAAGACTGCAAATGTATCTTATGCAGATTAGAGGTTTAGTCTGTTCGGATCATGAGCAAAACATAGAACATGACGTTCTTGTGAAAGAAGAGCAGATATTATCAGTGATACAGTGTCATCTTGTTTCTTTGTTTCCCACGTACCTGCAAGAATAGAAGAACAGTGTCTCAGCATGTTCACACCCCCAAGAGCTGGTGGAGAATTTGTTTAGTTCATCATTAAAGGGGCAGCATGGCTATGTAGGCATCCATGTTTACTGAGGTCTGCATATCTGATGGTTTACAGATGTTGCTTTCATCACCTCCAGCATTGCTTTTTTTTCTGCCTTCTTAATATTTAGCCCACCATAACATTAACAGCATTTTTAAAGGATCTAATTGGGGTCAGGTTTCAGATCAGCGTTTATGGAACACCCACAATAAAAAATGAATGAGATACTTCTCTGAATTACGGCACTACTTACACTAGGTGTAATTTTTTCTTGGGTTCTTGCCAGCAGTGCAAACTACACTGTAGGTTGAATGCTCTTTATTCTGACTTGCATGTTTTGTTTTTCTACAAGAGTCATTGGAAATTAATCTGGAATTTGATGTAAAAAATGGCTTTTAAATCCATGAAAGAATTTTTAGTAAGCACTGTTGTAGATTGGCATCAGATACATGTCAAATGCATATACAGGTCCAAAGACCCCTACAAGAGTGTTTGGCTAGACAGCAAGCTTGGAACCTAAACATACAGAATAGCCAATGATCCCCATTTTAACATTCATCTGTTTTAAACTCCATACTAAACCACAGTTTTTACCACAGACCCTGATCAAAGCTGGATTCTGTCCCTAAATACAGAGAAGAACAGAACGAGAGCTGTTGTGATTAAAAAAAAATAAAAAAAAAGTTTATTTATGTTAATTCCAGGAATCACTCAAAAATGAATAAAAAGAAATATTTTATTACATTAGAAAATATTAATCAAGTTAGTTATAAAACCAAACTAAACAAATAACTTGTTTAACAATCATGAATTTATTGTTACAGAACTAAAATTGGATAAAAAAGTAAACACAAACAAATAGGCTACAATACAGTAAGAAGAGCAATATCAAAACTCAGTACCACTACATCACGTACATTTTTACTAGTTAATGAATAGTTTAAACATTGTTAAGCATTAGGATAAGATAAAATGGCAATGGTTAGGCATAAGGATAAAAATAACAATAATAATTAAACACATAAAATTAATCAAATAAACCAAAATATGACAGATTTTTACAAAATCCAGACTATAGAAAAAAAGAAATATTAAATTAAAATAAGTTTGGCAATGTTAAAAGCTTTCACACAGAATGTATACAACCATGTTAGGTGGCAGTTCATGAAATATAAATCATAGGAGGTTTTGACTATAATAATATTTATTATGGTTAAGGAATTAGACTAATCACTCACTCAAACAGCCAAAGATCATCGAACACACTAAGGCATGTTAATCTCACTGATTGTTCAGCAGTGAATTCAGGATGTTTGAGTATTCTTAAAGTCTGAAGTCAAATTAACTGAGTTACAGTGAACAAACGAGTAACTAAGACTGTTTTCCTTTTAACACAATACTTACAGAAATGTCTGAAAGAAAATAGAACTTGCTAAAATGAAGTTTTGAAGTTCACATCCTGCATCTTCTGTCTGCAACTTTAAATCTCCAATCAGACGTCACTGTAAATGGCTAGTTCTGAAAACTGCAGCAACACAGGCTTTACAACAGCATTACACTCTCTAATACATACATTTACCATTCTCACTACGAGAGAACTCAGAGGACACATCTGGGCAGCCATGATGCTTTTCAGGAACTCTTTTTAAGGATTAAAGGCACACAGGCTTTCTTTGTGGACCTATAAGAGAAGAGCCTTTTATTAATTTTTGGTATTTCACATTATGTGAAGTGTAGATTTTAAATAAGCTAATTACAAATGAGAAAGTGAACAGCTTGATTTATTGAACAGAAATAGAGCCATTTCAGAAACATCACTGATTCACAGCTATTTTCACTTCTGACATTAGTGTTTTGGAGGAGTGGGTGAAGTAAAATTTAGTGCACAATGTTTTCCACTATGAGGACAATGACACCACAATATACACTCACCGAGCACTTTATTAGGTACACTTACCTTGCATCCACACCTCATTGTCCATTTTATCAGCTCCATGTTTCATATAGGTGCACTTTGTAGTTCTACAATTACAGACTGGAGTTCATCTGTTTGTTTGCATTATTTGTTACCCCAGCCTTACCCCATCAGCCAGTGGTCAGGACCCCAACAGGACCACCACAGCGCAGGTATTATTTGGGTGGTGGATCATTCTCAGCACTGCAGTGACACTGACGTGGTGGTGGCGTGTTAGTGTGTGTTGTGCTGGTACGAGTGGATCAGACATAGCAGTGCTGCTAGAGTTTCAACACTACTGTCCACTCTATTAGACACACCTACCTTGTTGGTCCACCTTGTAGTCAAGTGAAGTCAAGAGACTTTTTTTTTTTATTGTCCTTCCATCTATGTAAGTACACAGTGGAGTGAAATTACATTGCTCCAGGACCAACATGGTGCAACATGGAACAAAATAATACAGTACAGACAAAGTGCAAACATGCAGACGTAAGTGTGCAATTATTAAACTACAAACAATACAATAAATATGATAAATAAAACAGACATTATACATAGGAAACAGACAGGACAGTGCAGCGCCGACACAGCACTCATTTCAGTGCATGAGGTAGTGAGGATAACGTGCAGAGGTATTTAACATGCTATGATATGTGGGTATACGCAGTCAGATTATAACATACATGAGCACAGCAGTTACTGAGGTAGAAATATACAGTACTTTAGTAGAACACAGTATTAGCAGCAATGTTCCAGACAGAGCAAGTAGAGCATCAAAAACGAGTATGTGTGTGTGTGAGTGTGAAGTATGTGTGTGAGGAGGTTTTCAGTTCAGTCCTTGTGAGTTTAAAAATCAAAAGTAATCTAATGTAAAAAAAATTAAATGTAAAGTCAGAGACAGTAGCTCATCTGATGCTGCACAGTTTGTGTTGGTCATCCTCTAGTTCTTCATCAGTGGTCACAGGATGCTGCCCATAAGATGCTGTTGGCTGGATGTTTTTGGTTGGTGGACTATTCTCAGTCCAGCAGTGATACTGAGGTGTTTAAACTCCAGCAGCACTGCTGTGTCTGATCCACTCAGCGCAACACACACTAACACACCACCACCATGTCAGTGTTAGTGCAGTGCTGAGAATGATCCACCACCCAAATAATACCTGCTTTGTGGTGGTCCTGACCAATGCTCAACAGGGTGAAAGGGGGCTAACAAAGAATTCAGAGAAACAGATGGATTACAGTCTGTAATTGTAGAACTAAAAAAGTGCACCTGTTATTGTAAGTCGAGCTGATAAAATGGACAATGAATGTAGATATAAGGTAGATGTACTTTATAAAGTGCTCAGTGAGAGTATATACAAAAATTATTTATTACTTTTGCTACTGATAATAAAAATATCACAATACTAAAGTTATATCACATAATATTCACCCACATTAAAGCACACATCTGCTAATCTATAATGTTGAGTCAGTACTGCTCCATCTGTTATACATGACTACTGAGACTGTTACTGAGCTCTGTTAACCTGCAAGTTATCAGTGTTTAAAGGCTGTACAGTCATCAACAATAAAAAGATGGACAATACATCATGTTTCTCATTCTGAACCTGAAGCACAAGCCAGAAAAAGCAATTATTCAGAGAAAACATGTCTTATCACAAATAGAATGCGACTGCATTCAAGCACAAATCTGCTGACCCACAGTGCTGTTCAAATCACATATAAGTCTGTAATTTTTTATAGATCCCTAATCTATAGTTGCATGCTAATTGTGGGTGCTCCTAGTCAAATTACGTTTTGTTGATTGTCAAAGTGAAAAATAAGTTACATGTTCTCTACAGAGAACACACTTCTGTACTTTTTAATGCATAAATACACAATTTATTTGCTGAATTTATCATATTGGAAAAAAATAAAACATGAAAATTGTTTTCCAATATGTTAAGCTCAGCAAATAAATATAAATTGTGCACTAAAACTGTGAAATTTAAGTTGTTTACTGTAGAGAATATCTGTTCTGGTCATTTTTACTTGGAAAATCAACAAAATGTAATTTGATGTAATCAAACTTTTGCGTATGACTGTGCATCTTGGACAGTCCTTGTTTAGTTGTTGCTCTAGTCCTGTGTTTTCCCACAGGATCGATAACATTTCTACCCATCTGTCTAACTATCCTTAAACCATATTTGGTGCAAAAGATTAATAACAATGTGTTAGTTTAGAAAAAGAGAAGTTTTCAATCATCATTTAGCTTTCATGTTGATGAGCTTAAAGCTGAGCAAAAAATATACCAAAGTATTGGTTAATATCTGTTTAATTCTTATACAAATGAACAGTTACAGAGAAAACAGAATATCTCAAATGTAAATTCGGTGTACCTTCTGACCACGATTGCATATATTTTTATTCTTTTGGACCTGAACCATCACCTGTCATTTATGACACTGAACTGTGATGACCTGTTTGAGCTCATCTCACCTTTGTTATTCAGTGCTTCAGTTCTGAGTAGACAGTATCAGCTCCCTCACTGCTCTTCCCTACAGAGAGCAATGACACTGAATTAGCATCAACCAAGAACAAGAGGAAAGCATTTAATCTGTTACAACACAGACATGATTTATAGCACAATTCAGATCCTGATAAGCATTGAAAACTGGTGACTCTGATCTGATTTTCATGTTCAGGTTGATGTGAATGCAGAGTGAAAATAATGAAAATAATGTGAAAGAAATAAATACATTCTGATCAAGAATATTTATAGCTACAATAAAATAGGTAACAATCACCATTACTTTAATCACCTGTCAGCACTAATTTTTCTTTGATCTCACCTTCAAGCAGCTTGTTCTGAGTTTTCTTCGGCTTCTTCTTGCCTTTCAGATTAATTTGAGCATAAGTCAAATCACCAGGTTCAGGTCCAGAATCTAAGAAAAAACAAAATAAACTTTGTTTTCTCCAGTCTCATTCAGCTTTCACAATCCTTAAACTTCTCAAAATATATAGTCTTTAATCTGGCCTTCTGTTTCTATACTGTGTTAAACATGCTCTTGTCCTGGTATTTGCCATTTCTCCTTAGGGGAATTCCTGAAGGGGCGTTCCATCACTGTATTAGCTCAAGTGATGTGTTTTAGATGACCGTTGGAGAGGTGAGGGACTGAGTCAAAGCTGTTTTGATGCTGGAGCAATAAAATTCTAAATATCTTAAAACTACACCATTTAATTTACTACTGCAAACTGACTTTAATTTAGCAAACTGTTCTATTTGTTGTATATGACTTCTAATATAACTGTATGTCTCTATTCTGCCTCTTGCTGCTATAACCAAACAAAAGTTTTTTTTTATTATTTTAAATCTGAAACTTAAGCCAAACAAAGCAGTTGTTCAGAAAGTTTGTGTACCTTACACTTAATCTTCTCAAAAAAATGTTCTGCATTACAAAGTTTGTTTAGCTAATTAGCTGACTCTAGCTCTTCTAGCTAAGGGGGCAGCTTCTTCCTTCTGAAAAAGTCTACTTCCCCACCTCCTCCTTCTCCTGCAAGTGGCCACTTGTGTAATTTTGGTGCTACACACTAATTGTGAGGTGAAGTTGGTGAGAAAATGTTGTAGAAAGTATCAAAACCAAAGGTCAGACTGTAGTACTTAAACAATCACATCCTGCACTACTTAACTAACCAGTCTAGTGTAACCATAGAGGTGGGCGATGTAGAGAAAATATAAGATCATGATACTTGAAGAAATTTTCATGATACACGATATGCAACAATTTTTTATTTTTCTGACATTTTAAATGTTGGAACAGGCAAAAAAGAGTCAGTAGTGCCACATATGAAAAATGTTATTAAACCATTCAAATGATTATTTAACATTTCACATACATGAAACATGCAGTTGGTCAGTGTTCTAGAAGTAGTGACAATATCCATGATGTGCTCAGGAAATCATATTGTGACATATTTTTACCTAATTTATAACAAAAACAACAAATGTTGACATACTGCCCAGCTCTACTTAACCATTCATTCATAGACTAGTCACCAACGAGTCACTAACTACAGTCCTTAAAGTGATATTGTGGCAAATAAAATGTATATAATGACCATAAATGTAGTTTATCAGCCAGGGCTTGTTTGATGTAGTGTGTGGTAGGTACTTCTTACCTTTGCTGTCCTGTTTCAGGCTTTTCATCGCAATCTGGGAATATGTCACCTCATCTGATGTTGTTGCTGCATCATTTAATACAGAAAGCAGTTTAGACACTGAAGCCAATTTAGGTGGAAAACAGATTTTGTTAATGCAGAAATGCAGTTCTTACCTTTTCCTCTGAATTTCTTTTTATTTGTCTTAATTTGGGCATAAGTTACATCACTGGAGTCAGCAGCAGAATCATCTAGAACAGTCAGAGTCACTCTTTAGAGACGCTGCTTTACATGGTCAAAGTTCAGTTTTAAGCATAGAAAATAAAATTAATTGTATCCATGTTCATCATATCAACACTGTTATAAATATGACCACTGGGTATTAAAGGTACAGTTCACTGGAATAAAATCAAAATCAAATTTCCCCTTTACCCCATTCATAGTTGATCAAGTTTGATGTCAAGAACAAGTTTGCTTCTTTATTTTTGCAGCTGAGCTACAGAGCAAGTTTAGAAGAATTACCACCCAAAAGATTTTGAGTAACATAGACTTCCATTAATTTTTAGCTACATGGGCCTAAAAGCTCTGGTGCAAAACTCAAGAAGCCAATCCTTTTAGTGAAAAAACATAAGCAAAAAAAAGACACTTTCTGATCAAGCTTATTTATAACTATAACAAAATGGGGAACATCTGAGCAATCAAGACAAATATGATCTATTACAATTATTTAAATCACCTGTCAGCACTAATTTAGACATTTTCTTTTGATCTTACCCTCAAGTAGATTATCCTGAGTTTTCTTCAACTTCTTCTTCTCTTTCAGATCAATCTGAGCATAAGTCACATCACCAGGTTCAGGTCCAGAACCTAAGAGAAAACAAAATAACTTTCTTTCTCCAGTCTCATTCAGCTTTCACAGTCCTTTAACAATCTTTCCGAAATATAGTCTTTAATCTGGCCTCCTGTTTCTATACTGTGTTAAACATGCTCTTGTCCTGGTTTTCGCCATTTCTCCTTGGGTGAATTCCTGTAGGGGTGTTCCATCACTGTATTAGCTCAAGTGAGGTTTTTAAATGACCGCTTGGACGGGTGAGGGACTGAGTCAAAGCTGTAGTTATGCTGGAGCAATATTTTAAAACTACACCATTTAATTTGCTACATGCAGAAAAAAAAGGTTTATATAATAAAAACTGACCAGCCTGCAGCAGTGTGGATCCTGGTTTATGACTCTGGTCTGGTGTCTGATTGGTGTTCTGCTGATCTCCTGTAGAAGACAGAGATTCTACATCTTCAGCTTTAGTGGTTCAGTGATAAAAGTTAAGAACATTGAAACATGAACATGAAAGAGACACAAGTTACTTCACTTTCCTCTTATTGTCATCAACAGCTACTGCAATGCACAGAAATCATTAGTTTGCACACACTGAAGATACAAAGTAGTTTTCAAACCTTTCTTCTTCTTGTAGCACCAAAACAGGACCAGTATTACGATGAGGATCAGGACTAAACTCAGTACCACAGACACTGCTACTTTTGCAACATTAGATTCAGAACCTAAGACAGAAAGGGACTTTAATTTGTATTTAAATGTTTTATTTACTGTAGTTACAGAAGGAATCAAATATAATGAAATGTTTTTCTCACCTCTGACTGAGATCCAGCTCTGTGGTGACTCTCCTTTCTCTGGGTGTTTACAGTGGTAGAGACCTTCATCTGACTTTGAGACAGTACGGACGGTCATCTCTCCTGTAGTCTGAGTCTGGAGGAGTGATCCATTCTTATAGAACTCAGCTGTGAGGTTTGAGGGCTTTGGGTCACGATATAAACAGCGCAGAGTCAGAGGATCTCCCTCAGTCACAGGATGGACAGGACTCTCCAGAATCACATCACCATCTGTAGGAAACAGTAAGACAACAGTGACGAAAGAATTTGTAGAGAATACAGGAATTATAACTCGGAGAGCTCAGTACTGACTGATAAGTGTCAGGACAGTTGTATTTCTGTCACAGTTGTAAGTTGTATTTCACCTTGTACCTTTTAGCTGAAAAACAGCAAGTGTGTGAAAAGTTATTTAGCTGATACCAAAGCTAAATCATTTTAGTTCAGTTTACTACAACAAACCTATACAAGTGGAGTGTAAAATGAGCCTGAACCTAATATTTATCTGTGCTTTTCTGCAACACTTCCTATATGCTAAAGCTGCACTTTGCTCTATTTGCTTCAGCCCTAGAAACCCCCAGGTGGTGCTGAGCTTCTGGTAGAGTGCTCTTTAGTCTTTAACCAGCTTTATTAGTCTTTCTGTGCTTCTTTCATTGGACTTAAAAGATAACACACTCTGACCAAAACAAAAGATGCTGGCTCTTCACTGCCCTCTAGTGAAGTATAGAGTTCAGATATCTCATGGTTTTTATAAAACATGAATAATGTTGGAGATATGCTAATTTGCATAGTGAAAATCCTTATTTGCAATTTGCTTTTTTAAACACTTTTAAACCTATTTGAATATTTGAAAATTAATAGTCATCCCTAATATTCATAAAATCATTAACTTTTGGTTTTCTTTGACAATATGACCTTGTGTGACACAAACATCCAGGTTCATACAAAAATATAGTGATGGTGATGAAATCATGTTCACTCACTGTGCACTGTGATGTTGACAGGACTGCTGCTCTCTCCACATTCAGACTCACACCAGTACACTCCAGTGTGGGATGTGTAGAGGGAGCTGATGTTGCATGTAGATCCTGTAACTGATCCCCAGCCTGATGAACAATCTGACACCTTCTCACTGTGTGTGTATCGTCTCACTCTCCATCCAGTAGAGTCACTCTGTCCCTCACAGCTCAGTGAGAGAGAGTCTTTAGTAAAGTGTTGAGTTCTGCTGGGACTGACCATCAGAGAGTCTGAACGAGTCGTACCTGAAAAATACATTGAAGACTCTAACATGTGGCTCAATAAATACACAATTAAAAGAAAAAAACAGTGTTTACAGATAACACTTATCAGTATTACAGACTTCATCATAAAATTAATAATAATAATTGCCAGGTGATTTTGGACTATTGTTATTGGTTCATTCATCTAACTAACATGTTTAACACCCAAAAAAGGATTCATCAAACAATATGAGTCCATTAAACAGCAGATTAACCTTACAGTTTCCACGTAAATGAGTCCTAATGGAAACTGAAGGTCTAGGAAGACACAACAAAGTGACAACAGACTAACAATTTTTCAGTCTTTCAATTCAGCCTTTATAGGAATCTTCTCATCTCTACAGTACAGTCTGATCATTGACTCATTCCAGCCTCACACATAATGCACAGAGACTCCAGTGGGTGAAGGAATAATGGCCTTAATAACCAATAACCCCAGTTATGGTTGATTTTCTAAGTGAAAATAAGTGAACACATCCTGTGACAACACATAAATAAGGTATTTGACCGCAAATTTCAGTGCACCTCTTCTTTTTATTTGCTGAATTTAAATTGTTAGGGGAAATAAGATTGAAAAAACAAAATATAAAATTTGCCTTACCTTTTGCACAAGCCACATTTTTCGTGCTTTAAAATGTGCAGAAATTTGTTCTCTGTAGAGGATGTTAACTTACTGTTTTAACTCTGATCATGTAATTTGCTTTTGACTGTACCTCTCTCTTTGCTGATGTACAGAATTGTGCATACTTTAAACACCTGAATTATAAATTATATTTAAAATGCTATTTCAGTGAGCATTTATTTACTCAGAAAAGCACTCACATTCTAATAAATACAAATAATATTAATACAATAAGTGGTGATTTTATGTCTGTCAGTATATTTACTTAACCATTTCCAAACTTCTCCAAACAAATTTATGTGATGGCTGGAGGCGTCTAAAGCAAACACTGTTCTTCTTACTAGCTCATAATGCACCAAGTACTATTTAAAAACAAGATTTTTTTAGTTTTAATGCATTGATGTTTTATTTGTATTTATTTTAACGTTACATGCTGATTTACAAGCAAAAACACAGATATTGCCCAAATAAATTATTTTAAACAGCTTGCTCAGGTGCTTAAAACTTAGGGACAGTACTGTATATAAGGAGGATAAGGTAGGTGTAAACCTTACAACACATGGGTAACAGAGTTTCAAAGATGTGCCAAATAAAAAAGATATGATTTCTGTTTCTGGGCAGTTTATGTTTGTTGTTGTTGTTCAGCTGACATGCTTGATTTTGAATACTAATTTCTGACAAACTGTCTGCACCTGATTATCTTTTGAGACCTGATCTCTGTACGTAGGCTTTAATAGACACACACATTTTAAATGACCCACATCTTTAAAAACTGAATGTGTCTAACTTTTGGGAAATAAAATAATTTAATGTAGTATGTAAACACTGTAAACACAGTAAAATGTATGGTTCACTCCCCAGTCTATAAAGTCAATATGTGAAAACTAAGAGACAATTCTAGATTTTTTTTTGTCATGAAAACCAGCATTTTCACATATTCACAGCCAACAGCAGTTTAGCCCCGCCCATTCGCACTGAAGTTATAAGAAGTGTTTCTGTCTGGGCCACTTTTGGAATGAGGTGCAAAACCAGGCAGACAATTAGTCTTTAAGGCACATTAACAAAACAGCCAGTTTGAATCTAAAGGATAAAGAGATGTTGGAAAATAGTCATGTAAAATTGAAATATTACTGTTTTTAGAACATCACACCACACAATCATTGTAAGTGGACCTCAGGGAAATAAAAATAAGATATAATACAGGATATGGACCCTTTAATCACTATAACCCTTTCAAATTTTGCAATTTGAAATCAGCTCCTCATGCAGGTCCTGTCTTGATCATACTGATGTTAGAAAATCCTGTTAGTTTCTGAAGCTCTAATCTTAGAAAGCCTCTTTCAGCCTTTAAACAGCTTGTTGCATTTTTCTGAAAGTATGTATAATTTAATCATTATGATTTAAACAGAGAGTGGTTTGATGTGAATTGAGCCGTTCTGGAGATCAGATGTGCTCAAGATAAAACACATCAAATATCTGGACTGGCTAGAGGTTTGTTGACTGTGAAGTTTGATTGCATGTTAGAAATATGGAGAATTGAGAGTTGTCCAAAAAGTTAAGAGAAGAGATCACTGTCTTGCACAAACAAGGAAAAAGATATAAAAAGATAGCAAAGGCACTGAATGTTTCCAAGAGATACAGCTGGAAGCACAGTTTGCAAGTTCAAAGTTAAAGGAACACTGACTACACTGCCTGGACGTGGTCAAATAGAGGAAGTTATCACCTGCTGCCACCAGATTCCTGAGGAGGCAGGTGGTCAGAAACCCTCGAGTGACTGCAAAAGACCTGCAGCAAGAACTGTTTTGCAGCAGACACTGAGCTTTCAGTTTGCACAGTAAGGTGTATACTACATACTGAAAGTCTCAATGCCTCCAAGACGTACACCACTACTGCTCCAAAAGAACAAGGAAAGTTGGCTCCAATATGCTGAAAACCCCATAAATAAGCCACAGAGATTTTGGGACTCTGTTCTGTGGAACGATGAAACATAACTAGAACTTTTCTGGCCTATGGATCAGCGTTATATCTGAGGAGGAAGAATGAAGCAGACATTGAAAAGAACACCCTGCCTATAGTGAAGCACAGCAGTGGTTCAGTGATGCTCTGGGGCTGCTTTGGTTCCTCTGGCACTCGAAACCTGCAGTACGTTGAGTGCAGGATGGAGTCAATAAAGTATCAGGAAATTCGATAAGAAGGCATGATGCCTTCTATGAAGAAGCTAAAGCTTGGGTGTAATTGGATCTTCCAACAGGACAATGATCCAAAGCATACCTTAAATCTACCAAGGCTTGGTTTCAGGAGATGTCACAGTTGCAGCACGGAAACCCAAGTGAACTGGAAGCCACTGCCCTTGAGAAATGGGCTAAGATTTCTCAGGAACGCTGCCAGAAGCTGGTGTCTGGCTATACATCATGTGTGCAGCAGGTCAGAACAGCAAAAGGGTGCTCTACTAAGTACTAAAGACGCTTGTCATGAAGGGGTTGAATAATTCTGAGACTGCAGTAATCATAAAAAGTGGCACTTTGTGTTAAATTTGAAGAAACCACTCATTAAATTAAATGTTTTGTTTAACTGGTTTATTGCAAACAGCTGAAAGTTTGTAAGTAAATTTTGCTAATAAGCCTAGTTTGCAATTGGGGTTGAATCATTTTGATTGCAACTGTACATGCAGGACGTTATAATGCAACATAATACAAAAGCTATTTTTCATATTTAACACTATTTTATCACTGTCAACATTACATAAAACCATGTGTAACTTCACTGCTGGTTTAGGACAGTAAATTAAAATTGTTGAAATTGTGACCACTGGTTCCCATCATCACCACTGTAAAGAAATAATACGTGAGAAAGTTTCTCTAAAACGCACCATCCCACATCAAAACACTCTGACTTTGTTCACATCTGAATGATTGAATTGTGCAAGAATGTGAATTTTGAAAAAGCAGTAGACCTCTCCTTTTAGACAGCTAGTCAGACAAACCAAAACTAGCCTTGTGCTACTTTATTCTGTCCTGTTCCCACAGCAGCCTTCATCTGAAGTTCCCACACAGCCTTAATAACACTGTAAAACGTTAAAGGTGCACTGATCATGAAGCTGTGTGTATTAAACCTCTGCTCTCTGCATACAGTTTATAGTCCATGTTCAGCACCAGATCAGTAGCAGAAAGTTTTCTACTCACCAGTGACGTTTATCCAGAGGGCATCACTGTAGTGAGTGTAGTAGACTGGGTCTCCTCTCCCAGCTCTGCACCAGTACTGTCCTCCATCAGAGACACTGACTGAGCTGATGCTGTAGGAGTGTGTTTCAGTCTTGGTCTCATTCTCAGGGTTCTGTGTGTGTTTGAACCAGTAAAACGTCCATCCAGCAGACTGATCCAGCTTACAGTACAGAACCACTGGATTTCCTATCAGTGCAGCACCTTTATGGCTTGATGTGAGTTCTGGTTTAGGTTTTTCTGCAGTTGGAGATGAAGCACACAGTTCAGACAGTGCAGACACTAAACTCCCAACCTAAACGCTCAATTTATCTACCAACACATCATTATTTGTTGTCATTAGAAACACCTTTTCCAAAGTTAAGATTAAAATAATCCCATACCAAAGTAACACACATATAAAGCTTTAGGAACAGAAAGC